ATTCATGGTGTGGGATGAACGGCTGGAAGAGTTATCCTGATACATTCATGGTGTGGAATGAACGGCTGGAAGAATTATCCTGATACATTCATGGTGTGGGATGAACGGCTGGTAGAGTTATCCTGATACATACATGGTGTGGGATGAACGGTTGGTAGAATTATCCTGATACATTCATGGTAATGGGTGAACGCTGGAAGAGTTATCCTGATACATTCATGGTGTGGGGTGAACGACTGGTAGAGTTATCCTGATACATTCATGGTGGGGGGTGAACGGTTGGTAGTGTTATCCTGATACATTCATGGTGTGGGGTGAACGGCTGGAAGAGTTATCCTGATACATTCATGGTGATGGGTGAACAGCTGGTAGAGTTATCCTGATACATTCATGGTGTGGGGTGAACGGCTGGTAGAGTTATCCTGATACATTCATGGTGTGGGGTGAACGGTTGGTAGTGTTATCCTGATACATTCATGGTATGGGGTGAACGGCTGGTAGAGTTATCCTGATACATTCATGGTGTGGGGTGAACGGCTGGTAGAGTTATCCTGATACATTCATGGTGTGGGGTGAACGGCTGGTAGAGTTATCCTGATACATTCATGGTGTGGGGTGAACGGCTGGTAGAGTTATCCTGATACATTCATGGTGTGGGGTGAACGGCTGGTAGAGTTATCCTGATACATTCATGGTGTGGGGTGAACGGCTGGTAGAGTTATCCTGATACATTCATGGTGTGGGGTGAACGGCTGGTAGAGTTATCCTGATACATTCATGGTGTGGGGTGAACGGCTGGTAGAGTTATCCTGATACATTCATGGTGTGGGGTGAACGGCTGGTAGAGTTATCCTGATACATTCATGGTGTGGGGTGAACGGCTGGTAGAGTTATCCTGATACATTCATGGTGTGGGGTGAACGGCTGGTAGAGTTATCCTGATACATTCATGGTGTGGGGTGAACGGCTGGTAGAGTTATCCTGATACATTCATGGTGTGGGGTGAACGGCTGGTAGAGTTATCCTGATACATTCATGGTGTGGGGTGAACGGCTGGTAGAGTTATCCTGATACATTCATGGTGTGGGGTGAACGGCTGGTAGAGTTATCCTGATACATTCATGGTGTGGGGTGAACGGCTGGTAGAGTTATCCTGATACATTCATGGTGTGGGGTGAACGGCTGGTAGAGTTATCCTGATACATTCATGGTGTGGGGTGAACGGCTGGTAGAGTTATCCTGATACATTCATGGTGTGGGGTGAACGGCTGGTAGAGTTATCCTGATACATTCATGGTGTGGGGTGAACGGCTGGTAGAGTTATCCTGATACATTCATGGTGTGGGGTGAACGGCTGGTAGAGTTATCCTGATACATTCATGGTGTGGGGTGAACGGCTGGTAGAGTTATCCTGATACATTCATGGTGTGGGGTGAACGGCTGGTAGAGTTATCCTGATACATTCATGGTGTGGGGTGAACGGCTGGTAGAGTTATCCTGATACATTCATGGTGTGGGGTGAACGGCTGGTAGAGTTATCCTGATACATTCATGGTGTGGGGTGAACGGCTGGTAGAGTTATCCTGATACATTCATGGTGTGGGGTGAACGGCTGGTAGAGTTATCCTGATACATTCATGGTGTGGGGTGAACGGCTGGTAGAGTTATCCTGATACATTCATGGTGTGGGGTGAACGGCTGGTAGAGTTATCCTGATACATTCATGGTGTGGGGTGAACGGCTGGTAGAGTTATCCTGATACATTCATGGTGTGGGGTGAACGGCTGGTAGAGTTATCCTGATACATTCATGGTGTGGGGTGAACGGCTGGTAGAGTTATCCTGATACATTCATGGTGTGGGGTGAACGGCTGGTAGAGTTATCCTGATACATTCATGGTGTGGGGTGAACGGCTGGAAGAGTTATCCTGATACATTCATGGTGTGGGGTAAACGGCCTGTAAAGTTATCCTGATACATACATGGTGTGGGATGAACGGTTGGTAGAATTATCCTGATACATTCATGGTGTGGGGTGAACGGCTGGAAGAGTTATCCTGATACATTCATGGTGTGGGGTGAACGACTGGTAGAGTTATCCTGATACATTCATGTTGTGGAAGGAACGGTTGGTAGAACAATACTGATATATTCATGGTGTTGGGTGACTTGCAATCATTGAGAAAGTTCTATTTCGGTAGAAAAGATATTTCTGATATAAATGATATAGCATATATCTGCCAGGGTGAAATTATTGGTGTTCAGATAAGACTTTAGGTATGTGACCACATCATTGTTCATGTATGTGTGGTTAATATTGAGTTGCTTACAACACTCTTTAATCGCTTGTATTAATATAAATTGTTTTATCTATATTAGGTTACAACATACATCCTCCCACTGTTGCCCGTAATGACTCCATGCATAATTAACCAATCCACAGGTGACGCCGTATATCAGTACCAATCCACAGGTGACGCCGTATATCAGTACCAATCCACAGGTGACGCCGTATATCAGTACCAATCCACAGGTGACGCCGTATATCAGTACCAATCCACAGGTGACGCCGTATATCAGTACCAATCCACAGGTGACGCCGTATATCAGTACCAATCCACAGGTGACGCCGTATATCAGTACCAATCCACAGGTGACGCCGTATATCAGTACCAATCCACAGGTGACGCCGTATATCAGTACCAATCCACAGGTGACGCCGTATATCAGTAATAAAAGACCAGGTCAACGAATGTGTTACAAGTAACAATTTCAGGGCCTGGCAGACATCTTGGAAAGTCGTTGATACTTGATGATATGTCTTATTTGTGCTCTCCATCACTGCATCTGCAGGTTCAAAGAAAGAATAGACCCGCTGTAGAGTACTGAGTTGTCGTATGCTGCGACTTATATCATGACCTCTTCATAGTAGGGGGTTTATTTAGTGCTTTCTGCTAACTGTGTAAGGGGATAGACTACATCTTCACGCTATAGTGTCTGTAATGACGCATAGGCTTTCTTCTAAAGGTTTATGATATGATTTGTCCATATGCTTCATCCGTTTATATCGTGGCAACAGAGAGTGTAATATTGTTTGAAGATGACGAGAAAAAAACAAAAGAAATAATAATACACTATTACAACATCGACTTTCAGTGACTCCAAGGTGATGGTAGCGTATTACAATGGGCGGCCTGTTTGATACGAAAACACTTTAAAGGGGATTTCTGATACAATTATAATATTCCTTATTGATGTTTCGTATATTCAGTTGCCACCCTGGAAGTACTATTTTGCCAAACCTAACTGATGAAACGGATCTCTAAACTTGTGGGTGCAACCGTTATTATTCGTAACGATGACAGATATCTGATTAAACATTCATCAAATCTTTAGTATCGATAGAAGAAAATTCAAATATTTAGTTTTTTGGTTTACCCCTAAATGCTTTAAGGTTCAACAAGCCTCCTAAAAGATCGAATGCTCCCCTTAAAATTTAACCAATAGTTAATATCTGAAGACCCCATAAAC